CGTGTTATAAATGTGTTTTATTTAATCCAGATCTGTTGAGCCGTTCTGGTTCGATTGGGTAACAAACATACATTCAAACTTTTGCATTTATAATTGTAGTAAGTCTGGAAATCTGCCGTGGTTTCATACGGTATTTCTCAAGGTTAATAAATCTTTTCAAGAGACATCATTTTGTAATACATTTTACAATACAATTAATCTTAATGATGATTTGATGAAAGTATTTTTTATTAAGGATACGAAGTTGATATCATGAGAACCGAAACAAAACAATTTTAGAATTTAAAGGCGAGATATGCATAATGCAGTAAAAACAACGCATAACGCTTCTGTCTACCCTTACAAAGCGTTTTTATTGATATGTTATATTTAAAGATATGTTTCAGATATCATTAAACAGTTCTTAAAACTCATGATTTATGTAAATACTTTTGCTTCTAAACATATTGGGCAGTGAATAATGTTTTTCGTATGAATTTGATGGATATTTTTTAAGATATTACATTTATTTTTACATTTCATCTTTGCTCTTTTTATAGCCGACGGAAGCCAATCTATTTTAGGAAAAAGGCAGGCAGGTAATCTTTTCTCCTTTTCCCCTATGTAGCTGATCATTAGAATATGAAGCAACCCACATGCTTTTATCATTTTTAAGGAACTCAGAAAGTTCAGAATGATGACTAAAGTACGCAAATCAGAGTGAAAAATCAATTTGTAATATGTTAAAATTCATTTTGAAAAATTAAAAAACGAATTCCGAGTTAGTTAATTTTTTGAAGACTGCATTAATTTAAAAAAAAACTCTTTTGTAAACTTATAAATTAATCAACTGAACCAACTATATCAATACATTGCATAGCATAGTATAGTTGACCAAAGCCTGTACACCTTGGTGTGGTTAGTTTTGTACACCACAAACAGTGTAGTTGGAGTTACCGTATACACAATAAAATATATTCCATAATAATTGTATCCTACCTGCATATATTTAATATGTAAGTGCTTGAAAATATATAAACATGACATTCTAATTTCATTAACAATTCACAAAATAATCAGAGAGAAATGTAATTATTTTTTAATTTACGTTAATCAATGTTTTGGCCCTCATCATCATCAGCCTATCGCGATCCCTTAGAGAAACGCTGAGTGTAACCGTTTCCATAGCACGTTGAACGACTTTGAACTTATGGACCACCCGTACCGTAAGTTTCCACGTTTCGGGTCCGTATGTCATGACTTTTTGGCCCTATTTATCATAAATCAAACGCGAATACATATCTCCATCATTAAACTCTAAATTCCTAAACTTACTCTGATATCTTAAGTTTTTGTTTGGTTCATAAATTCTTAAATAAACAATTGCTCAATAAAAATCAAGTAAAGGTACATTCGGAATGAAATATTTAGATACAAGGTGGCTTTGAATATCAAAGAAAAAAATTGTTTGATGTGAAAACCTCATAGCGATGAGCATTGATTGATTATAGAATTACACAGAAGCACATCAATATACATATACTATTAGATACTTTCTTTAATATTTTCTTTTATAAAAATATGATTTCCACATAAAACGTCTATTAAAGCCCGATCCACGCAGTTTTATGTTCAGCTTGTTTTGACTCTCGATATATTACTGTGTATTAAACTTTATTATTCTACGGTCTAAGCTTCTTTAATTGCTGTATTCAAATAATAAACTTTTTATAAAATAATTCTGTTGTGTCATTTATTTTCAAGTTCTTAATTAAAAACAGCGATATTAATCACACGGGAATGAACTAGGTTGGGATGTAATTTAAAATGAGTTCAACATAACAACAGATGAAAGGATGAAAAGACTCAACAATAAAAACAACTTAGATGAAAAGACTCAACAGAAAAAAGTTATAAAACTACTTGTAGTGTTCAAAATATTTTATCTGGTGCGTGCACTTGTCTAAGTAACCTATCATAGATCTTAAAATCAATTACAATAATATAATAAGTAGAAAATTTAAAAACATCATACCGTTCCAAACCCGTCGATGTCTTGTTTTTTCTAAATAAAATATTTCTTTGTAATATCTTGTCTAGACTAAGTCTGGACAGTGAAATATTGGACATTGTCTACAATACAGTTTCCAAATGCCGATGAATAAAGCAGTACTTCAGTACCAAGTTTGTGTTTATACACGCTATTTAAGAGTAGGTGTGTATTATAATTCAATTGAAAAATTGTATAGGGCTCTTTCAAGATAAAAACACATTTGTACAATATTTCGAGAGTCAACGCTGTAATCACTTCTTACAATAACCTGACGACATACGACTTAACATATCCATCCAAATATTTATATCGTTAGGATGCGTACATTTATATAATAAGTATGTGTGCCATTGAATATGGACACTTGTGCAGATAGACAATTAAAAGATAAAAAAAAATTCTACATTATTTTTAATAGCATTAGTGTGAATTGTTATATTCTTGCATTTTAAGAATATAGTATATATACACATTTATATCGTATGGCACCGTTTTGCATACAATACACGTAGAATATTACGCAAGCTTTACCTATAAATTCTACAAAAGTCATCTGTACATAGTAAAGATCATGTGGTACCCTGAATTTCACAAATAATAGGGTATTAGTAAGCGTGTTGATATCTCTAACATCCGACGCACATTAAGAAAGAATACACGTCAGCAACGAGCTTGGAAGTAAAGTGTTATAGATAGTTCAACTCAGTTGTGCGCGCGGCCCTATGTGTGCGTGGGCTTGTAAATATACAACTTTCATTCGTGTGGCAGTGACGCGGCAGTCGTCGTCCGAGCTGAGTTGTATATTTACAAGCCCACGCACACATAGGGCCGCGCGCACAACTGAGTTGAACTATCCATACTGGCATCGATACAATATCGGAAAGGAATATGTCTCGGAATATTTTAATGTAGGTCCCAGTATAGTATATTATCAATATAAGTTCCAAAAATTAAAAACAAATTTCTACCAAATTTTTATAACTATTGATATTATGGCAACACAAATTCTACTTGGTAGATATATTTGTTAATAAATATTAATTTACGATTAATACTACTAATGAATTCTATTTGAATTATCTCTATGTATTATTACTAACTAAATGAGATATATATTCTACAATAATAATATTCTTAAGATGCTGCATCTACATACAGATAAAATTCTCCCCATATATTATATAAAGCCATATAGTATCTTACAAATATTCGTTGTAAATTAATCAAATAGCGTGCAATTCTAAACTTCGATAATAAAATAATGGAATATAAAAACAGATTTTACATACCTAGGATAACACATATATCACCATACGAGTGCATTAAAACTGTGTGTACATATGTATAATACATCGTTTTATAATCATTGTGGACAATGCCTATCAAATTTGGGACGCTATTTATCACGAATTTTCCTGATACGCTTTTGTTTAAAGCTAATTTCCAATGGGTCTTTGGTAATTTTAACTAATGCTATGACAATGGTGCTAATTCTCTTGTTCGATAACTCTCTAAACTAAACTAAAAATCACTAAAAAATTGTTTCGTCTTGTCAAATAACGTTTCCTGTTCTGAAAACGTAGAATTTGGTAAGACTAAAATTTTGTTTAAGGATTTTTAGTTTAGTTTGGAGAGTTTCCGAACAACAGATTTAGTACCAATATGTGGCAAGTTTTGGGATATAGAATGAAAGCATTCAGATTAAAATTATACTCTCTAATAATTAGGAGTAGATTTCTACTTGATATATATTACTTTGCTGCAGTTTCTTTAACTCATCAACAGCCTTTAATAGTCCACTGCTGGACATAGGCCTCTCCTTAGAAATGAGGCTTTGGCCTATTATACCACGCTTGCCAGACGGGTTGGTATAGGATTTGTGGAAGAACGGGTGTCATGTCCCTCCAACACAAAGGGAGGATCCTCCGACCAGGCGAGGTGATCATGCCTGGCGGGCAGTTTCTTTAACTGTTTACAAGTAAATCATTGTAGATTTACAAAAAAGGAACTTTTTGAAAAATAAACCTAATACTGCAAGGAATTAGATTTGGCATTTTATGTAAATAGTAATTTCAGTTAGAGGTTGTTATAAAAATAACTGTTAACTTACAACAGTATACACTAAGTATACTAAAAGCCTCGAAAATAAATTGCCTCTATAAAAATCAAATGAACTTACAGGCAGATTACAATGAGATTATTCATTAATGAATTACAGTCATACCACAACGATGTCTTTGGCTAAATTACACAGCATTATGCCACACAAAATATGCGTATTTCCTAACTCTAAGATATTTATGTATTAAAAGCACGGTATAGTCGAAAAGCCACGACAATCAAGCAACAGATACTGGTGAGTATAAATATCGAACATCACAGAAAATATAATCTAAAATACATCGTATATAAAGTTTAAATTTAAACGCTACAACTATGACGTTTGTCATGCCGTCTTTCTTATTTGACTTATGGGACAATAAGTGAATAAAAAAAAACTTCCAAATTTTGACAAGGTGTCAGTTGAAAACTACCTTTATAGTACTTTTCAAGTGACATTTGATTCTAATTCATGATGATGATGTTACTGTTTTTTTTTTTTTAAATACTGAGACTTTTTTTACATCTCTATGTTATCCCAGTGAATCAAATACGTAAGAGGACCAGATATAGAACGATTCTAGATTGAATTCATTACATAGAATTGTATTTCAAAAGTTTTAAAACACACAGGTTCTAAAACGACATATCACGAAACGTGAAGAGAACATTAAGTGCTTAAAATAGCATTTAGTAAAGTAAAACAATACAAGTACAAGCAGGCTATACATTATTTTTTTAAACTAGGTTCGATATTTCACTCCTCAGTTTATTGAAAGTCCACAGAAATTCAAAAGTAATATATTTTGTCCGTTGCTTCGAAATGTACATGCTTTTTGCCGTGCGTTGGCAGCACGACCAACAACCATCAGGCTGAATTACCTTTCTTTGCATTAGTTAATTTCACTACATCAGAACTGTTCACTTCACTTTTACCTTTAGTATTTACTTCTTTTGCACTATTTTTCGTATCTGTGCCACATTTGAAATCTTCGAAAGTTTTACTTAAAGGACTTTTAAGTTCATCATCACTTGGTTCGTTAATTTCTGGAATTTGAGTCTTGGATTTATGGCCATCTACATCTTTGTCTGCCTGAGTAAGCACTTCCTGGACATGAATAGTGAGCTCAGGGCGAACGACCTGGGTAAAAGGCAGTAAGGCTCCTGCTACGTCCATGGTATTGTTGATGTTTCTGTGCCATAACTCCAGCACTACGCTGCGTCGTTGCTACTTGTATCTAGGCGGACCCAACCAGCCGCATCCGAACACCTAGGAAATAAAGTTAGAACTGAAAATACGATTCTAAATACGATACATAAGAAAACTCCATTTCAGAACCTCTTAGCAATGAGTAGAAGATATTTAAAGTTAATTGTTTTATAAATAATGACTGTGGTATGGATCCATCACAAAAAGTGATGATCCAACTACAACTCATGAAAGTGACAGTAAATCTTAGAACACTAGATAGTTAGTTACATAGCGGTTATTTGTTATTGTTTAATATTGTATTAATTACTGTAGTAAACTTACTTGACATACGACGAGTGCCAGCAACAGAAGGAGCAGGAGTGAAATCAGGCCCCATACAACTCCAAGCTGCGTCAGAGCGAATACATACAATGTTCTGTGACACCATTGATTTGGTTCGAATAGTGTTGGTGTGTAATCTGGCCACATAATTCCTAGGGTCCAATAGTTTCCGAAAGCGAACCTGTAGAAAATATTAGGTTTTATATATTTCATTAAAGAAAACAAATTATGTACAATGCCATGAAATAGATTCAAAGTATTGATTTGATCACACGAATTGAGTACTAAATGATATTTAAAAGAGGCTATATTCAAGAAAATAACCAGAACGACGTTTAGTGTCATCAGCATTATCACATCAACAGCCTTTAATAGTCCACTGCTGGACATAGGCTTCTCCTTAAAAGGAGGATTTGGCCAGACGGGTTGGTATAGGGTTTGTGTCAAGTTTTCCTTCTTTTTGCTGCTGCTTTTTGCTGTTGTCTTGCCTAATTTGCTCCTTTAGTCCTACTATACCACGCTGGCCAGACGGGTTGGTATAGGGTTTGTGTCAAGTTTTCCTTATTTTTGGAGTGCTGGTATTCTGCGTTGTTTGGCGTCTTTAGTCGCCTCTTACGACACACAAGGGATCAATAGGGGTGGTGAAATTCCGTATTGTTAAACCGTCACCACACATTTGTGTGCGTACAGACTTATTACAGAAAACCCTTAACGAAAGCAATAAACATATTTTTTTAACACTAATGCAATTTAACAGTGATAGTGTGTGCGTCATTCTTTAAAAGTGAATATATATTTCATTTCACATTCACTAAACCGCAAATTTTTTTGCTCATAATTTGAATAAAATTAAGAAAATATTTGATTCTTTTAAAACATGTCCAATTAATGTCAGAGTCTCTGGCGAAATAAATTCTTCCTTGTATTAAATTAAAAACTTCTTGCCTTTTATATCCGACAACGCTTCCAGGTAATTTCTTAAATTATTTTCGCTCAAATTATTAAAGCAATGATTGAAAATTATAATTAATGCGTAGATTAACTTATTACAAAAAAACGCTCGTCCAGCTAGGATAATATTATGAGAGTTGTTGAAAAGAAGAACGACCACTCGTAAAAAAATAAAAACCAAAAACACATAGCGTTACACTACAAACAGTGTTTTAATTAAATCCGCTAGTACATTCAAATGAATCGACATCGAATAAACAGTGCACTAGTATACTCCAGTTACAAGCAGCAAAGATCTCTTGACCATTCTAGGTTTGAAAGAGTACGCTTTAACAATTACAGGCCTTAAATAGAAAAGAAAAAGTTTCCCTTAACTCTACGGTGGCTACATTTGTCGTAAAGATAACAATAGATTACTTTATTATGTACTAAGAATAGTCAGAGTTCATTGGGACAGATTACGAATACGGAGAGTCAGAGACCCTATTCATTACGATACCCTCGTATCGTAAGAGCTGACTAAGAAAGCCAACTACGCAGAAAAACAGATCTAAAAAGAGAGGCAAAACTTGATACAAACCCGTCTGGTCAGCGTAGTATAGTAAGCCAAAACCTCCTTGGTGAGGATAGGCCTATGTCCAGCAGTGGACTGTTAAAGGCTGTTGGTGATAATGATTACGCATAATGTGTTTGTATTATATGTGTTTTCTTGTTTGTCTACGGTACACGAAAAGGGTTATCATAAACTGATATTTTGGGTTATAACACAATAGTTGCTAAAGGAACTGTGGAATGTACGTCAAGAATGCTTAATATCAGCTGCATCGAAAAGTGATTAGCTTAGGGAGGTGAGCTAATTGGAAAAGTCGCATATATTTATTAAAGGTGTTCAAAAAAGAAGGATGTTGTCGATACTACCCAAAGGGCATCGTCAAATCTATATAAAAAATAACACTTCATTAAAGTTGAAAACTAAAGGATGAAGTTTATTGCAATTCATCATGATGTCGGGTGCAAAAAAAAATCCCCAACAGCAAGGTAACAAACTTGGAGTTGGTTCTTTTTACACGCTTTATATTAGCTTCACTTGTATGTTTGTATGTTTGTTTGTAACCGACTCCTTTGGGCGTGATTTTGACTGACTTTAAACGGTCAGAATTCGTTCAAACTATGTAGATATATATATCGAGGACCGATGAAAATACACTAAAAAAAATAGTTTAATAAAACTAAAAAACATGCTTTTGAATGAATTTGAAAAAACGCTTTGAAACGCTTTTGTAAAAAAAATTTAATGAATTTGAAAAAAAGCGTGGGGTGCTTTTTACTGTTGACAACAGGCACCCAACGCTTTTTTTTCAAATTCATTAAAATTTATTTATAGTTGTTTACAGTCAATTCTAGTAGACAAAGTTCAAAATGTCTTAGATATAACTTGGCAAGCTGATTGTGTTTACTGTTGTCGAAAATAAATTGCTTGCCTATTCATTGTCAGAACAATTTCGGAGTGTCTTCAAAAAGTAATAACAGAATCTAATTTGTATTCTGAAATTACGCAAAAAATACATGTAAGAAATTGGATGGTTTGAACCTTTAACTATGTGAATATCAGAAGCAGATTTTCGTGTAGTTTGTATAGTTATTTATTGTGTACTTTTAAGTCCATCGTGTTTTGTAAAACCCTTTTAATTAATGCTATTATCTCTTTTTAGTGCAGGGAATACCTTGGGTTTAATGTACTCCAACGGCATTTACAGTGTTCACGTGAGTGAGCGTCTAAAAATCCGGATGTGGTTGTAGAGTGTAGCCCGTTTCAAATTATTCCACACCAGCAACCTAGTGAGTCAAAACAGTCCAGTGCTTGGACTGAATTGTATCGTTCATTACATTATTCTAGATATTCAAAAGCTGTTAAATTGGTAACACTGTAATGATAATGATATCAAAGTAGGAATTCGACGAGAGTTATTTTGAAACGATTTAATTAATAATTTTAAAATAATTTTGTCTAATTAAACGGAATATTTATATTAAATACTAGTCTGTTGGTCGAGTGGTTAGTGATCTGGACTATTCAGTCAGAGGTTGTGGGTTCGATTCCCATCCGGGATGAATAGTTGTGTGATAAGCTTGAACATTTGTTCTGTGCCTGGGTGTAAATTTTTCTATAATATATATAGTAGGTAGGTCCGTGTGGTGATTCTTCAGGTTCTTGATTAAGGGTCTGTGTGTTGGCGTATTAAGAACTAGCTGAGACCCGCTGTGTTACCCGCGTTTGAAGCTAGTCTAAAAAAAGTAGCCTAAGTTACTCCTTATGTCATCAGCTATCTTCCAGTGAAAGTCCAGTCGAAATCAGTCCAGCCGTTCCAGAGATTACCCGGAACAAACAGACAGACAGATAAAAATGGTAAAAAATGTTATTTTGGCATATGTACCGTGTAAACATACATATGCATTTAGTAAAAAGCGGTTATTTTAATATTACAAGCAGACACTCCAATTTTATTTATTTGTATAGACTATTCTTTCCTACTGTGAAATCTTTAAAATACTTTTAGCAGGCCAGAGTGACTCATGTATTAATTTTGGAAAACTCTGTTTCCTGTTTTGTGTTTTAGTTTGGATGGTTGGTTGGTTAACTGATGATAATGAACATACAGCACAGCAGCAGAACAGCTGAAAATTTCGTGGTTTTGCTTAAAGTACTTTATAATAATAGTGGTATAACATTACACTGCTACTTACGAAATAAAGAAAACTTATAAAAGCTAATATATAAGATCAGATGGAAAAATTACTGTACTTAAGTTGTTTTAGCTCTGTTTACCAACAAATTTATTCAATTAAGTTGCTTCAGTAATGTGTGCATATTCGTATAAATAACAATTTTTGATTTGTCGTCTTTCCATCACAAAAAAAAAGTTATATATAACAATTTTAAACGGCAGTTGTGATTTTTTCTGCATAATGACATATTGCTACACTAAAAAAAGTAGGAACATGACGAATTACACTATTTACGAAACGCATGTGACAATGTAATAAGTGATTTGGGAAGTTTTATTCGCAATCAAACATACAGTCACCTGTCTATAAATATTTCCAACGAGGCGTGTATGCAATAGAATTTTTTCAATAAGTTCCATCAGTTGAGTATGTGAACACGAGAGTATTACATGTATTTGAAATCGGATAATCGTATTTACTAGCACAAATGAAATGTTTGAATAGTACCTTCCTATGGTGCTTTTATTATCTTTCAATATTTACCTTCACAATTTCTCTACAAACCTGAATACGCGATCCCTGTCTCTTCGAACTACTGTACTCTCATTCTTGTTGCCTCATGTGATACCTGCGGTATTTTTACCCTAGATCTCGCCCTATTTCATTATCCAAATTACGTTCTACTTTTGTCCAATCCGAAAAAGATTACCTTTTGTAGGAGCTGACCAACCTACATACTTTTTTGAAAATATCCAGAAATATCAAAATATTTTACGATTTTTAATGTTGGTGAATTCGATATTTTACGACGATGAATATAAGAGAGTGGGGTTTAATTACGACACGCGATATATTATATTATTAACAAATAGTTGTTCTTGATCTGGGTGTTCTTCGTATCCGTTGTCTGAATGTTTGTAAAGTCCTCCGTGGTACAAGAATTTATGTGGGAGTGCCTTAGAGTAGAAGATACCTTTAAAATAAAATTTTCCACACAGAGAATGTGTATTTTTTCCATTTTTGAACGCTTATATTGCAAAATTGTTAAAGTAACATACGACTGTGTAGCGGTCGCATGTTCCAGCAAACATTTACTGAAGGAATAAAAGTGTTCTGAGCCCTTTAATGTCAAATCAAAGCTCTATCTATGCTTCAAATCAATCAAGATTTTTTTTGTGTGCACTTCTTAGAAAGGAAACTTTCATTTTACTTGGCTCGCAATGTCTGTCAGCTGTCTCTAGGGACTTCATAATCTTTGATCAACGTCTTTTGGTAAAACCAAACCCACTGATAATTGTGATTGTAAATTTTTCAAATAATTTTTCTCTTGTGTTTTTTTTTATGAGAGCATTTTATTAATTTACATATTAGATGTCAGCGCTCGCATTTTAACCGTTTTGAATGCTTTACATTGTTACATTGATCAGTTTATCTTAACGTCGCAAAATAATTGGTAATTAAACGTTAAGTTTTTTTTTTCATTTTTTTCTATAAAAAGACAACGCATTAGGAATATACCCTGTATCGCGGAGGACTTTGCAAACATATATGAAACGGACACATAGAACACCCTTACTTAAAACAACAATTTGTTTATCACACAAAGTGTCGTCCCACGTATGGTTTGAACCCACAACACTCGTCGTAGTAGGAAGCGTTGTGGTGACCGCTTAAACCACTACGCCATCCGTGCAGTCTTATTTTAACTTAGTCTTATTTAAATTGGACCAGTTGCTGAAGCATCTGATGTATTGTACTTCGCTTCTTGAAAAGGCATAGATAACAGAATCCAAGTATTACGCTATGCCACTCACTCACCAAGCTAGAAGAAAGCCGGTTAGTATATAGGCCAGGATACTCTCAAGCACGCTGGGTGAAGAATTTGAAGTCCGGCTTGCAAGCTGTGCCCACAGAAGCCAGCAGATGCCTGCGCCACCGGCAGCTCCACCCACTACCATGTAGACTGGAATGCGGGGTTCGGCTGGACAATCTCTTATGTAATGGACACCTGATAAAACAGAACATTTTTACACGCATTATATTAGCTTCACTTGTATGTTTGTATGTTTGTTTGTAACCGACTCCTTTGGGCGTGATTTTGACTGACTTTAAACGGTCAGAATTCGTTCAAACTTTGTAGATATATCGAGGACACTAATTTAAAAAATATATATATTAAAAAAAAAAAGTTTTAAAAAAACTAAAAAACACGCTTTTTATAGAAAACCAAACTAAAAAATAGAAAATAAATTTTAATAAATTTGAAAAAAAAGCGTGGGGTGCTTTTTACTATTGACAATAGGCACCTAATTGGTTTTCTATAAAAAGCGAGTTTATTAGTTTTTTAAACTATTATTTTTAACAATTCATAACTGTTTGTAATAGCTATGTATATTGGTAAAAATAATGAGTCTGGTTCGAATTACTAGGTCAGATTTGAGACTGAATCTAAAATCCTCTAGTACATTTTTGTCTTGAAATCTACCTTCAAGATTTTTCGTCAGTCAGTATTATTAGCACAAAGACAAAGAAGGGTCTGTACCACTACACATACCCAGACACATAACTACAGCATTTAGAGGATAATTCCGGTATAGTGCAACAAAATGCTGCAATGATTTGCCACAGCCACTTCTTAACCTTGTTAGTGGTAATACTTTTGTACATAACCTTGTGAAAATAATAGTAATTTTCTAAACTAAAAACTCTATTTATATAAAATAGAATCTTTAGTTTAAAGTTTAAAACACGGCAGAATTCAATGCTCGAACTAAATAGATAACAATAGGTAACTGTTTGCGCGCTATAACTTGAGGATAAATCGCAATCACATTTGAGATTCCAACAGTGTTGTCAGACACACCCGTACGCGTGGATTTCAGGTCGATACCTTATTAAACTCTGTCTGCTGTTCAAACATTCACTACCACCGATCGATTCGAAAACATTTTAGGTGTGTTTTATCTGATGTTATGGGTGGAACATTTCTTTATTTTATGTGAACAAACTGATAAATATGCTTATTACAGATGTATGGTTACACTTACCCTACATACTAGGTATTTTGGGGAGGGTTGACTAGTTTGGATCCTTTATAGAGACTTTATTATGGAAAGTTTGTATAAAGAAGTGAGGGCCTTACACTAAAGCGACAGGAAAATTTAACGCTTGATAAAGAAAAATAATAATGCATAATAATGCACAACGCCATCTAGTTTCAAACTAAGCGGAGCTTGTACTATAAAAGTTAAATTGACTGATAGAATACTTATATACCTTTTAATTTGGAAATATATACATAATCATACATAGAAAATACCCAAACTCTGCAACGAATGTTTGCAGATCATATAAACATTTCGTCCGACTCGAGAATCGAACCCGAGACCTTTGCATAGCAGTCCCATAAGCTACCACTGCATCAGCGAGGCATCCTCGTTGCATATTGACTACAGTCTATTCAAAAGTAAATAATGATTTCTTCCCACTAAGATTTTCACTGATTAAAAAAAATACTATTGTATCCGTTTATTCGCAATGGATCTAAACTAGACTTGCAACGAATATTCGGTTACTATTCGGTATTCGGCCTATTCGGCTGCTTTTATTATATTCGGCCGAATACCGAATATCTACATATTATTCGGCCGAATACCGAATACTTTAATAATATATTTTGTCATTGAGAAAAAATTGGTAAAATGGAAAATTAAAATCGATTGATTACGTAGATATATATTCATATTTTCATTTCTGTTATAATCGTTTAAGTAGTCATTGGTGCATAACACAGGTACATAATCATCTGCTGAATTGGAAAAATGGAGGATTCTATGTATTTGAATTATTGTGGTAATCAAAATTTAGAAGGGTAAGGTTCTCATTTCTTTTATAATCATTTATTAAGTAGTCATTGGTACATAAAACAGGTACATAATTTAATTCACGTCTGTACAAGTTTTTGGCGCTAAAATCCAGCCGAATACTTTTGCCTAATATTCGGCTATTCGGTCAGGGGCCTCGCCGAATATCACTTATCACTTTTTATGTGGCCAAGTTACTCTTTCTTTGTAAATGCTTTCTCACAAACCTTTTCACTCATAGATCTAACTTCTAAACTATTTTCAACAAATAAATTAGTTTTCCGTAGTTGACTTAATCTTTATCACGTACTAAACAGCTAAAAATAACATATTTTTGTGTTACAGATTTGGGGTGCATTGTAGATGGACCGATTACAGATAAGTAAAGTAGGCACTTGAGTTGAATCTAGAGCTAAGGAATGCGCAAGACATAATAGTTTGCAAGTTTTGCGGACAGTGTGGGGAGGTTAAGGGGCGTGGGAGGTGACGATTGAGGGCGGCAGGGGGAGATGACCTCCTGTCAAGTGTGCCCTAACTGCATTCCACTCTCGCGACTACAGCAGATAGGGTATTTATTTTTCTTAAAAAGACAACTACCACACTAGTAATAAATCCTGTGTCGCGGGGGAATTTAAAAACGTAAATAAAACGGACACAAAGAACAGCCAGACTCAGAACAACAATTTGTCGATCACACAAAGTGTTGTCCCAGGTGGGGTTCGTTCTTTATTGTACATTACAAACAGTAGTTCACTTTATATTGGTGAAAATAACTATTTGTGATCACAAATAGTTGTTTTAGAAATACAAGGTATTGAGTCATACCACGGCCTTAAAGAAAACGTTTTGACCCAGTTAGTGAGGTTACCGGACCAAACCTCCTTTACCCCTGATTCTAGCGGAGTGGGAACCTAAAACCGTGTTGTGACTGATTAAGAATACGAAGTGTCATGCCCCTATTCCCGTGGGTGTCGTAAGAGCAGATTAAAAGAGCAAACTACGCAGGACAACAACACTGCAAAGAGAAGGAAAACTTAAAACAAATCCTATACCAGCCCGTCTGGCCAGCGTGGTATACTAGGGTAAAACCTCCTTTCTAAGAAGAGGCCTATGTTAAGGAGTGGATTCTTAAATGCTGTTGATGTGTGATGATGTAGGGACTTAAAATAAATAAATAAAATAAATATTTCGGACATCTAAACACACAACGCCATTTAGTTTCAAGCTGAACAAAGCTTGGTCTATGAAAGCTAGATTGACTGATAGAATACTTATATACTTTTTTTTTGTAAATACATACATATTATACATAGAAAACATCCAAACTCTAAAACAAATATTTGCAGATCATATAAAAAAAATTGTCCGACCCGGCAATCGAACCCGGTAATCTACATTATCGTACATAAACGCAGGCGGAGCCGCGGGCAAAAGCTAGTAGATAATTTTCAAAGGTAAATGTTTGGTATTTAATACAACCTCTATCATTTATTACCTCCCCATAAGTGCACCTAGAGTTCTAACTACCGGTATCTTGGTCCCTGTACCCGATAATGATAGGACACAATTTTTTTTACAATTTTTAATGTTTTTTGTCTTTTTTTGTACATAAATGTATTTAAAAATGTAATTTATATGTATAATTATTCGTCGACGGACATCCAAGTGGTGATGGATTAAGAATACAGGTGTCACACAAACCACACAGGGCAACAGCACTGCAAAGAGAAGGAAAACTTGACATAAACTTTATACCAACCGGTCTGGCCAGCGTGGTAATGTAGGTCAAAACCTCCTTTCTAAGGAGAGGCCTATGTTCAGCAGTGGACTATTAAAGGCTGTTGATGATGATGATGATGTATAATTAATGAAATAAAGAGAATAATAATAATATTTAATCTATCTTAAACTAATATGTAGATGACAGTAATTATAAACTTTCACACATGAAAGATAGAAGTCGATGACGGTGCCCGACGAGCTTTACTTGTAAAAACTGTGTTACAGACACCGACGCCATCTTTTATTGAACCTTTAGATTAAAGAAAATGTTGATTTGGTTTGATTTTTATACAGATATGAGGTTAGCTTAAATAGTAATTGGAAAAGTGGTTTATTATTAATTTGGGAATTAAGACGATGTAAAAAATAGAATGAATGATGAAGAAAAAGTATATAGCACAGTAGGTGTGTAGTGAATTGTGTGTGAGAGTGTGTGTCATTGATAATGTGTGTAAGTAAGAATGTTTGTGTGTCGGTGGATGTGTGGATCAGTATGTATAGAAAAAATTAAAAGCCAAATCAAGCAAAATAGTGTGTTCTCTCACTACAAATTGTAGTCCTATTTTATCTCGTGTCGTTGTCTTAAGTCATAGAGTTGAAAATGACGGTTTAGCTTTAAGTAATTTGCCATATCTTTTATAAAGTTGGAGTTGTTATACGTTACAAAACTTTGCATAAATGGAAATATGAAATTCAACTGTTTTATCATTGAAAAAGTCGCTAATTGCGTAATAGGTCTTGTCAATTATCCTTAATTGGTATCAGACGTTGTCAGTTACATCCAATTATACAAGTATTTTCTTTTATAGCGATAACTTTATGATATAGTTTGGAAACCATTCAAGGGGTTGTATTGGAAGACCTATTCACATATCAGTTTAGTGTTTTAATAGTCATCATTATCAACAGCCTTTAATAGTCCACTGCTGGACATAAGCCTCTTCCGAGAAAGGAGGTTTTGGCCTACTATACCACGCTGGCCAGACGGGTTGGTATAGGGTTTGTGTCAATCGCAGCGGGCGGAGCACACACCCCCGTCGATGGCTGCATCAGCCGGAGACGACGGGGGCAGCGAGGCTGATGTTCCGCCCGTCAGGGAATCGGAGTTGGGGGCGGCTGTTCTACGGATTAGATCCAAGAACACTGCCCCCGGGCCGGACGGGGTTCACAATTTTATTTTAGGTTTTATGGAACATTTTGATTAGTATCTTTTAAACGTAAACTTTTACTAGTAAACGATTATATTGTCAAGTGTAGTTTGAATCAGAGAGGTATTCACCTCTGATTCAAACTATTTCATCCAATACACTAGCGCCGTGGAACACACGCCTTACCATATTTTTTTAGGACAGGAATGTTAACAAGAATAATTGTAATTTGTAACTCGAAATAGAAAGTCTTTTTAGGAATATAATATTTTAGCCGTAAAACAGACGTTTAGCTATAATAATTTTTTAATGTTTTTCAATATGTTAACTACTTTATGTGACATGTAAAACATACAAGGCAGAACCTGAGAGGTTTTGAAAAACAGGATAAATCCGACACATCCGTACGTACAGGATTACAGGTCGACACCTTATTGAATTCTGACTGAGGTATTGTACGTATATATCCGTTGATTACTTGGACTAAGGCGTCATTAAATTTAGTGTAGACTAAACTGTATGCAAACTCTGGTTTTGTTACAAAGATTTTTCTTTTAAAAGATTTTGCGAGACAATAATATTTCTAATCCGGGAGATATCAGATAAAATTTCTGTACAAAAACTTGAAGGAAATTCTGAAATGCTCATCTTCATCGTCAAATTGTGTAACCGTCACAAAAATATATACAAAGTCCCTAAGCTTTTAACATCATACACTTCTGAGATAATCTGTAAACGTATTCTAAATCTCTCTCCATTTTAGTTGTTTATCTGCAATTTTATTAGCATTGCATTCTGCCGGAATCGTCAGATGTGTTTTGATTTTCTGTCTTTTAAGGCATTAAACTATTTCATCATTTTGCTACCATTTTTTCAATTCTATTTGGTGTCGGTGCATTGAGTTTTGGTCTTCCATTCTCTTTGATCACTCGATACCTTCTTCATTTCATTGCGAAATGGTTATGCTTTTTCTTTTATGGTTGACCTCCTAAGTGACGCCAACCCTAATTGGGAATGTAATTGTCCTTCGTGCATAGTAGGTACAGAGCGAAAGATATTTAGGAATTCCAAACACCCACGGCTTCTCCTATTGTCAAAGCAAACAGCTTCATAGCTCCTTTTCTACAGTGCAGCCACTATCAGAGAAAACAATATTAATTATATAGACTTTAATCTAGTAAACAAATTCATTTCATTTCTTATATATAAATTCCGGCTTAACGAAACTTAACTTAAAAACCAAAACTGCCTCAAACATGAGAGAATGGTGCTGTAGGCCCGTAGTTCAGCTACAAATTACTTACGCCAGTTATTACATTAAAGTATCAACTTCCATTTTCCTCGTGTTCACAAGTTTTGAAGTTTATACAATGTTCGATAATTAAATCGCAGTTCTAATAACATAACATCGAATACATTGTTTAGTGAAAATAAACTGTTTTATCATATGAAATATGACCAATGATTCTAACAAACCTTCAAAAAGTATTTAATTCTTTATTTTAATTCGAATTTATTCTGAGTAAAAAAAATTGTAATGATCAAATAATGATAAAATATCTCGGTGGTGCAGTGGTAGCGTATGCGATACCCTGTTCTGGGTTCGATTCCCATGTCAAATGATTGTATGATCTGCAAAAATTTGTTTCGAAGTTTGGGTGTTTTCTATTAAAATTATGTATGTATTTACAAAAAAAAGTATTTAAGTAATCTATCCAGTCAAACTAGTTTTCATGCTCTGCTTAGTTTGAAACTAGATGGCGTTGTGTGTCAGATGCCCGAAAAGAAAAAGATAATCAGTCTGTTGAGAGTGCCAGCAGTGAAGTGACAAAGATGAACAATACAACTTCTTATCGAGTTACGGTATTTGTCACTTGTAGTTGGTTTTCGCGACTGATCTCAACCGATGGCAGCAGAAGGTGACAGGATAAAAGGAAGTCATGATCAGTAGTGAGAGAGTGATAAGGAAGAAGTTGATTTCGCTAAAATTACCTCAAGTCCCAAGCACATTCAATATTGTTATTTATAGCTGTGTAGTTTTTATCTAAATATTTTACCGTGGTGTTGGAGAGCCATTCTTCGGCACAAATTGGTAGGCTCCAGCGAAGTGATACTACAGCCTAACAAAAAACCAGTGTTAAGCAATTCATTTTGCTGCTTTTTACCGAGTAGTTGAAGTTACCGGAGCTCCTCTATCAGGGACACCTAATCCCGGAGAGGGGGGGAGGGGTATTGGGGTGCTTAAAATAAAACAAAACTTACCCATTATCAGCATCACAACAGGCAGTGTTGACAAACAGGCAAGGAACACTGTCATCAGAACTGAAACAAAAGCAGTCATTCACACTGAGGCCTTTGAGGTACTAAATCTACTAAATAATTGGTTCATTTAAATAACAGACGCATTAGTTGTAGAAGGTTCGTAAAATGAAGGAATGATGTGCTATTTCAAGACCAATCAAGGTCTTGGAAGTTCATGTTATATTACTGGATTGTTTCCAAATAACCCTGCTATACTGGTGTTTTTGGTTTTCAGTCACTTAATCCATACTTTCATACTATTTTGCAAATCTAAAAGTAAGTCTGTTTGTTTGTTTGTTACGCTTTCACGGCTAAACCACATAACCGATTTTAAAAATTCTTTCATCGATGTATAGCTACATTATCAGCTAGTAACACAGCCTACTCTTTACAGCGACAACCGAAGTACACGCAAACAATTTAATCGCATCGAAAAGAATATCTTAAATATCCAGTTAATTCTTTAATCATAAACGCAATAAAGAAAAACTGGAACACATGAGTCCATCTATACTTATAAAACGCCTGAAATTGTTCCTTAGAATGTATCTGAAACCACTCACTAGTCCTATTCATAATCTTCGCAGCTCTGCAAACAAAATCAACAGTTCCTGAGGCCTCCATATTTGCATCTTTGAGCTGGTAGGCCACGGAACCGTAAGTTGTAAGGCCGATTCCAAGACCAAGGCCATGACTGTCTTTGTATTTGGCCTGCTCTCCGCAAAGACGCCGTTGTTCATCCCCTGATACCTGTGAAGCAAAAACCTAATAAGACAAAATAAGATGGATACTAGCGGTAACAGAAGTTGAACAAAGAAGAATGTTTTAACACACTGCAGAGTCATCAACAGCCTTTAATAGTCCACTGTTGGACAAAGGCTTCTCCTTGGAAAGGAGGTTTTGGCCTAATACCACGCTGACCAAACGGGTTGGTATAGGTTTTGTGTTAAGTTTTCCTTCTTTTTGCAGTGCTGGTATCCTGCGTTGTTTTGCGCCATTAGTCGGCTCTTACGATACCCATGGATAAATATTAAACACTTTATAAGCTGAGCCAGCTGCCGTTTGGTAGTAAAAAAAGCATTTTGTGTTTTAAAATCTTTCTTTGCCAAAAATATTTAGTTATTAGTTTGATATCTTGGCGGACATTTATCCTAAACGATGCTTTAAGTCATTCTCAAAAGATGTGTACGAATGAGCATTATTTCATTTTTATTTCTAGTAAATTTGCCTGATGTTATTTAACTATGGGTTAGGTTCACTATGAGATAAACTAATAAAAATATAGGTATCTATTTTCTACACATGTATCGTAAGTAGTTTAACAAAAAAAAGCCCTTTAATTTTAATATATAATGCGATACAAAGACTCTCTTCTTTTTACAAAAAAAAGCGGTGAGTAATGGATCTACAATCGTAAGTATACACAACGTCCTAAAACTAAGCAAATTAATTATATTTATAAGCCCAGCTATTACCTGACTGACCGAACTAGATGCTCGACGGGAACCGGTATCTGATAATCCACTTGTGCCACTCTGACGACCAGCCAACGATGCTCTGTACGGTGACATGCTTCTTCCTCGAGTACCTAGATGTAATAAACATCTTTTTTTTAAAAAAATAGGACCTTTATTTTTTGATGAAGTTGAACACAGATAATAAATTTCCTTTAGTGAACTTAATTAAATTAAACTTAACTGATCACATGTAGTGTGAATGTAATTAATTTAGTTTAATTAAATTAAATTTAAGTTTAGAGATTCTGGACAAAAGACAGATGAAGTTAGGGGTATGTGATCTTGACTTGTTTTAGCTTACACTACCCAATCCATCCACCTGCATTTAGCCTGACGGTACATCATCAGGTTAATAATGGAAAACTTTTTAACATTGTGTACAATTCACATTAAATTTTTCCATTTAATTCCTAATTATGTATGGGAGACTAAATTTATAATTTAGGTACTTAGGCGTCTGCCTTTTGTAATTAGTATCATCCATATGTAGTCATCAGTGCGACATTGGTTCTCCCAAAACTTGATAGGCTCTGATTTGAGCTATAACCTTTTTGTAATCCTAAATACCAAGAATATTTCTTTAGCTGAATTTTAGGATTACGACATCACAATGCTCTACTTCTAGAAGTAATATTTAAATATATTATGGTATTATAAATGTAATATTAAATACCTATATTATAACCTGACCATTGAAACCAAAATAAATTTATTTTAGTATCGAAAGCGGATATATGAGCGGATTGTTATGTAAGTGAATTTGTGGTTTTTCTTGAAAATTCAGCCAATAATCCAATAATTAATTGGATATTGAAATGAACTCAGTAATGTAAAACCTTAAACCTTTATACTGGTTGCTTAAAAGCGTTTTTGGGGACGTCAATGAATCATTGATATTAATATTAAATCGTTTAGAAATATGAGACGCATTACTGATATTTATTCATTCATATAGGGGGAAGTCACCTAGTGCCGGACACATAAGGTTTTCAGGAAATAAAATTAAAACTACATCGAGAAATATGTATTTATTTATGAATTACTTAAATTAACAAAACATAAAATCAAAATCAAATAACAAAAATACAAATTCTGCGTAAACATAGTTTAGGAGTGTTAAATAAGTTTTGGTAAAAAAATAAAGGACTTTGTCATTGGCACCTAGTGCCGGACGGGTTAATCTTCAAACCCCAAGCGCCGGACATTCTAAAACTTTTAGCATCTATCACATATGTAGGCATCTCCACATTCTGGAACGTCTGCACATGCTTCATGAGCCCATTATTGGCATCTGGAGCATTGTATCCAGTCCTCGTCGTGGTCTTCTAAACACACTACACAAGTCGTTTTTTCTATATTTGATACTTCAGTTAACGGCTCCTTTTTGTTGTCGTTATTGCCACGTTTGGTTTGTTTACTCATGGGGAATCTTCATAGCTTCAGCCAAGTCGTAAGCTAACTTCAAAAACTCGTTTTTCATCAGGGGCAGACATCTATTAGACAAATCTCTTATGTGGTCCACTAAAACTTGCTCATACTCGGGTGAGAAGGTTTTTGTGAATCTACCAACTTTTGTTTGCAACGTGACTTCTTTTCCACTGCTCAATGTCGTTATTTTATCATGTAGAGTACTTTTTGGAACATTGTAACGTGACGAAGCTGCCCTCAAACTCATTTTTTTGGACAAAATCTTGTTCATCGCAGTTTTTAAACTTTGCTGATCCCATTTTCCTTTTTTTTACTCTCTTGCATTTTCAAATATCTCTCTCCTTCTATCGTGTAAAACAACAAACAATCATCATTACAATAAGTACAAATGCTTCATAAAAAAGCTAACCTATAAACTGTCCGGTGGTAAGGGACACCTTTGTGTCCGAAAGTAGGGGACAGGAAACGTCCAAAATTACGTATTTCATACTAAAACTGTTTAGGTATTTAATAAAAACTTTCACAATATAATAATTATAGTGAAACACTGTCTTTATTAACAAATAACAAAAACAATTAAGGATAAAACCATAGCAGTAATACTTACTTGAAATTTACGTGACGCAACGCTTTCCCACCAAAAACAGCAATTCACGGCTTCCACCACGACTGTGCGCCTCACTGGCAAATCGCGTTGCGTGATCCTGTCTCGCTACGTTCCCCCGCACCCCTTTCACCGATTTATAAATAGATCGCGTTGACGTTTGTCAAAATAGTACGAGTGTCCGGCGCTAGGTGCCGTCCGGCACTACGGGACTTCCCCCTAATCATAGATTTAGAAATACTTCATTTATTAAGACATTTGCAATGGTAACAGGGATTCAAGCATGACTACAGATAAAAGACAGTATAACCAAATAGGTATTCTGTCAAACAAAAAATTATGCTTACCAGCGACTTGACTTTCTTCACTTGCTCGCCTTTCTCTAGATACCAACGGCTCCTGAAATGTCAGAGTCAAACTTCCCCTTGGGCTTAAGCGCGAGATATCCTCAGCACCTGTTACTAGGCTACCCCTTGCACTTTTCTCTGAAGGAGCAATACTTCCCCTAGGACTTCTCTGGGAGTCCGGAATTAAAGAACCTCTTGGACTTCGCATATCTTGAATATCCTTCTTCAATGTATGATCTGGTCCTATGCTGCCCCTTGGACTGGTTCTCGGACTAGGCCCTAGTTCTTTTTGACCCCTTGCAGGATCTATCTGGATACTGGCTACGGAGTGACGTGGACTTCTTCCTATATCTGGTACCAGGGAATTTCGCGGTTGATTCCATGATGTACCTTCAGGTACTAAACTTCTTCTTGGACTTCTCGCGGTTGCATCAGGTGCAATACTATTTCTTGGACTCCTGTTAAAATCTTGAGGGTTTAAGCTTAGTCTGGACCCATATGTCATGTCAACTGCTAAATTATTTCTTGAAGGGGCTAAACTGTTTCTGTGCAGTGGTGCAGCCGTGTCTGGAACTATAGAGTTCCTAGCAGACCTAGATTCAGGAACTAAAGAGTGACGAGGACTTCGGTGATAGTTGTCTAGTGCTGCATCTGGTGCTAGGCTTGCCCGTGGACTCCTTTGAGGGGGTGGAGCTGTTGGTTCCATCTCTTCATCTGTTTCAGTAGCAGCTAGTGATGCTCTTCGTGATGGCTGGGCTGATGCTCGAGGTGATCTTGCTTGAGGTGACGTTGCAGCACTTCTTGACGCGCGCCGTCGCCGTGATGATGATGACCGATGCAACATTTTTTAGTATTTCGTTTTCGACTATAGTTGCATCTTTATTACTTGTAACCGAACCATCATTATCTGTGAACAATAAGAGTGGTTTTATTTTTTCATAGTAAATATTATCTACGGTTCTGAAAAACTCTTAAACAACATTTTATAAGCCGTGTTAAACAATGATTGAAACTTCCATGTTCACAGCCTTCAGCCGCAAATCTTAACGATGTATAAACAAACAAACTCAGCATAATAATCCCTTCTAATTTATCATCTGCTTGCACGTTTGTTGGAAATGTTGCTCGTCACGCCAAGAAAGGGAATTACGTTTTTATTCATGAATATCATGATTATTTTACTCATATTGACTCTGAAGTGATGTAAAAATCTCTGGTTTTATAGTTAAAGTTAAACCTTATTTTATTTTAACAAATTTAAGTTTGATGCAATTGGACTTTAAACTTGAAAAGAGTAACACATTTGAAATATTGAAATATTTATAACAAAAGCAATTCTCAAAGTAGTTATTAATACTTTGAACTATTTTAACATCGGGAAAGCCAATATCATTCTCAACCGATCGTCATGTTTCTGAGACACGTAAAAGGAAACACGCAAAGGCACTGTTTCGACCTTTCCTCCCAAAAATGATCTTTCCCGATGAACATTGAGTTGTTAATAATATAAATAATCATTGTGAATACGCAGACTTGGACCTGTTTAAAGTGATTCGAATATTTTATATTGTGTTTGCAACTGAAAAAAAATCTCTAATCTTCGTTAGAATTGAAACATTCGTGAGAGATCTGGGGATATCAAGCGTTACATTATCGAGACAGGACGAGCATTTACAAAATACACACATCAGGAAGCAGCATGTTACTAATTCACATTCCAGTTTTCATGTACGCTTTACGAACGTAAAAAGTCAATTATAAATAAAAAATAGAATTAATAACTCACTAATAGTCACTAAACAATACAATGGGTAAATAGGAAATAAAACTTAAGAAAAGGTTTATTTTCCTTTCAACTTAAGTGTTTGGCTTCTCCATTTCTTATCCAATTTAGTAGATTGAAACGTAAGACCTTGAGAAATTGTTGGTACTCTAAATCTCTTTGAGACAATATCTTAGGATTGGAAGAAAAGTAACTTTATATACATCAGTACATCTAGAGTAACGTTAGAGGGCCGAAGAGTTATGGCGTTACTGATATTATGGTAATCGCTTTCCAAGGATTTTGTGCACATTTTTTTTATACCATAAAAAATTAAAATATATCTCCTAAAATTATATAACTGATAAGATTTTGGTCCTTCGAGCCGGATCATGACCACGTACGAGCAAACCCGTACAAAAACCTTAAAACTAATCATACAAAAATTATCATTCAGTTCAAAATGGTTCATACAGTTAACAGATACAATTAGGTTTATTTTCTCGAGAGCTATATTGAGTTTTAATTTAAACTGTTGTGTTCGTATTACTTACAGAAGTACTTTATTGGATTTCAAACTTTCGTAATGGACCTTAAAGTTTCCCTTTGCTAAATAAGGGAACGGTTTTTTGTTTAAGTAAATAATAAAATTGTATACCTTAGAAAAGCCATGTTTAAGCAACCGCAAACAAGTTTGCCCAAGTGTTACAAAAACCAGTAAAGTTTTATTCAAAGTATTGCATTTGATAGGTAATATTTGAACTAAAATAGTGCTGTTCGGCAAAACCGATTAAACAGAACTGTATATACAAACTTAGCTCCGCATTGCACGACGTGAATGGGCGTGTAGCCGCAGGCATAAGCTTATAAGCCAAGAAATACAGCATACTTGTAACATTCCACAGTACCTAATTCATGATGTAAGGTATTCATATTTAAGGTTTGGAGCAATTTCTAACAATGTTATAAATTAAGCTATTTAATACAAGGTTAGAGATTTTCATAGAGAATTCACCTAGTTTTAGACCATGTTTTCTATTACTAATCATGTAATAATAGATACTTCCATACGATTTGTAATTTTCTCAGTATTCTTCTGGATGTTCAATAGTTTTAGGACTGTGTAAATTAGTAAATGGAGTTCAAGTTTAGAATCATTTATTTCTCACAAAGAATAACATTAACTATTCATCCACATGAGAAAAAACAGATTGAAACATAATAACAACAAAACAATTTCTTACACAAATATAGTGAGGGTAACTTAAAAACATTATGCATTTTAGGGTCATAGGGTCACGCAGGAGATACAATCACCTTTCTGTATAATAAATGTAATATCAAGTAAGGGGATTTATAAAGATATAAAGAAAAATAAAAAAACCCACATCAGATCCTCTTAAAATTGATGAAAAGACTTGATTAAGTACAGTCATATTCGAATAACCCATTTATTTATTGAAGTGAAGAATAAACACGCCGTCTCGTTGTAACCACTTAATCTTAGTTTAATCCGTTCCCTGCCCACTCGTATGTTGGGCAGATATCATTCTGTCATGTTTATCTTACCGTAATTTAAATTAAACCTAACCACAGTGTAAATAATAGTACCTCTTTTATCCTTTGGTTTAAGACGAAAGATCCAAAATTGTGTTATTTTAATAAAGTAGAAATTTTAAGACTCACATTCAGTAGCTGTTAAGGTACGCTATCACTGTCATATCCAAGGAATACTAACTCTTCAGATTGATTTACTTCTTATGAAGAATGAGATAATTTAGAAACGCTGTTTCATAAGCCCATTATTAAGTACTGAACTTACATATTCGAGTTTGTACGTGTAGTGACGGATTAAGAATACGGAATGTCACTACCCCAATTCATCCCGTGGAAGTCGTTAGAGCCGACTAAGAGCGCAAAACAACGCAGGATACCAGCACAGCAAAGAGAAGGAAAACTTGACACAAACCCTATACCAACCCGTCTGGCCAGCGTGGCATAGTAGGCCAAAACCTCCTTTCGAAGGAGAGGCCATTTCCAGCAGTGGACTATTAAAGGCTGTTGATGTGTGATGTTTTTACGGTATTAAATTATATTATCCTTCACCATTTCTATAATAACACGTATACAACTTTTAAAATCTTGTTGTCACTGGCCTATTAGTGCTACTGATGGTTGAATGTGATGGTGGAAAAGAACAATTACTGACTAATCTGTGCTCAAAAGCACTTTATCGTTTAAAACTTTTAAATTCATCTACAGACGTATATTTTGGTCGATTTCATTGTCTAATGGTTTCAGCCTCACTGACGAAAGTCCATTATATGGGTACTTAAGTCGTAAGCGAATGCTACAGTTTTACGCTTCGAAAGACAAAATTCTTTGTAAATGATTTAGTAGTGATATTGGGAATAGACGTTTCGTCAAATGGACAGAAAGCTATGATGATCTTTGTATAGCCGATAAATAATTTTGATATAACTGGAAAATGTTTTGTTTTACGTTTAAGTGCACATTTAAAAATATCAAAATAAATTTTGCAATTGCAATGATTTTATATTTTTTATTTTTTTTTAATCTAGACGTTTCATTTGCCCCCTTAGTATTAAGACTTGTATTTGTTTTCATGAATGTCATAGGATAAGCTATGTTAATGATAAAATAGATTTTATTGTTTGCTAAACACAACACTTTTTAGTTTAAAAGATTTTATTTCCTTTTTGAATAGCAAAATCTTGGTCAAATTTGCTAATGAAGATGCTTAATATTACTATGATTAACAGAAAAGTAGCAGACATAATAAAATATCAAAGCAATTACTTTAAAGATTTTACTACGAACTTTTCACTTTTTTTTTCTGTGCGGAACTCCCCTCGGATCCCACCCACCAATGGGTGATTATGTCGGACTCGAACCGACCAAAAACCAGGTACCAGTAGCCGGGAAACCAGGTAGACCCTAGAAAGGAAAGCCCTGGTACCTCGGGCCATGTACGGCTTGTAGATGACTCCTCCTGTGTGGGAACCCGAATGTTCCCGTTGAATATGTTTCAAGTAAAATTGATGCCTTATTAAAGTTAATAGATAATTTGTGTTCCAGGATTATTAATCTGTGGGAAATCTGTCTGTTTTAGTACTCAAAATAAATAACACTCTTACCTTTAGCCAATAAATGTCTTAATACGCACTTGGATAATTTCAATTATTGGAACTTTTTCAATTTTCAAAGTACAGATTGGAAACTTTATTTCCTGTCATCCAATTATAAAAAGTATCGAGCTGCTGTTTTATTTTCTGGAAAATAGAGTTGAAATTTAAAATGTTGTTGTTGTTAAAATAAGGGATTATTATCTTATTTTGTTGTTTCATCTTGTCAGAAAATTATTGTATTTTGGAAATTGGATTTGGGTCAGTGCTTTTGTACAAACTTAACATTTTGAATAATTAAATATTTAAACTGAATCTGACAACCCATTTGTCGCAGTGTTATTGTTTTGCCAAGACGTATTGTGCTGTCATCAGTCACAATAAAATTAAATTGTAGTAGTATGGTACTTGTTTAGAATATTTTAGTCAATGCAGTCTAAATATAAATTCTCTCAAAATAGAATATAAGGCTAAAATTTAAAAAAAATTGTAAATTAACCTTACTTAATATTATAAAATTCTTCATAATGTTTAGTTATTTTAACGATTTCATCAAAAGAAACTTAATTTTTGAATAGGTACAGTTAATTTTTACATAATATACTTACTACTTTTATTTCAAAGAAGTTTTAGTCAGAAATATAAATTATTTCTTATAACTAGGAGCGAAGTTTATACAGACAATTCATCATCATCAACAGCCTATACTAGTCCACTGCTGGACATAGGCCTCTCCTTAGAAAGGAGGTTTTGGCCTACTATACCACGCTGGCCAGACGGGTTGGTATAGGGTTTGTTTCAAGTTTTACTTCTCTTTGCAGTGCTGTTGTCCTGCTTAGTTTGATGATGATGATGATATACAGACAATTGATTTAGAAAAAATGTGTGCAAATGTACCTTTTACATACATCGATACAGTAACACGTCAAGATTATT